GAGATACTGTGGAATTTATATAAGAACCTTCACCTTGATCGTCATCTTCCTCATGGCAAAGGTTTTCGTTCTTCTTTGGTACTGGAAAAACTTCATTGGTTGAACAGTTTTTGATATAAAGGTTTTCCCCAATAACAAACCTCACCTGAAGAATCATCGAAGGTTGGTATGAATTATATAGTTATTTAGATTTAATTAAAGGACTTTCAGCAGTTGACAATTGCTAATTTTTATAAGGCCAATTCTGGGACAGGGCAAGAGATAGGAATGGTAAACGTTTGTATTCCGCTGCCGTACATGAAGATCATATGTCTAATTCTTGAAAGGATCAGCCTATCTTAGCCTTAGTATTACAATACTTAGATAAGGACATTTACAAGTTTTCAGATCTAATGATGACTATCAAGAAAACATTTGCTACAAATATCACAAAGATTTGAAGAAATAAACCAGTTGTAAACATTTTTAATATATTGAAATATACAAAGACACGTGAAAGGATATGGTTTTTTGTATCTTAAGATGAATGTTATTGATGAAATCTACATCGGAAATGCAGTACACCTCGAAAATGATATCAAGCGTTGTAACTAATCAAATAAAATAAAAAGTCATGATAGGAAGTTGCAGAATGGCCTAGTTTCTACAGTTAAGTAGTTGCTGTTAGCCTAAAATGAACCTGAGTTTCATCGACTTTGTCGCAGAAAGAATATACTAAGTATAAAGTACGATGACGCAAATAAATGTTTTTTTAATTTCAGGAATCTGACACCTAAAACACTTTTCTAATAATTTTAGCCTACTTTTTGCCTTGTGGAGAGTCCTAGACAGGGTTGGAATGTCTGTGCAGTGATTTGCAATGGTCTGCTAGCTGAAATTGTTTCGTGAGCCATCTTCCCTAATTTCCCTCCTATGGATTCGGGTATTTTGAGAAATACCTGTGCAGGCGATTCACTAACTTTGATATAGTCGCTGAGACGAAACGGATATCCTGCATTCCTGCACCGTTAAACTTAGTATTTCAACAACCTTATCCATAACAGTGAGACCACTTCATTGTTAGCAAAAAAGATATCTAGAGTTCTATTCCCTACAGTTTTTATCGCTGAAATTTTAGTTTCTGACCCAGCTACTTCTAATTTTAGACAAATTGGTTTTCTTACTCAGTTCATTTTATAAATAATTACCGCCTTCACTTAGCAATCTTTCAAGTGAAATTTCGTTACAGTATGATTTCGAATGAACACCTGGAATAATGTTTAATCATAATGTGAAATTATTCACCAGTGAGCACTTGTGACCCTCTAAAGTTTCGCTATATATATATATATATATATATATACATATATGATCGTTCCCTTGAGTTCCAAATGGAACATAGGGCTTCAACACCACATCTCCATTTTTGATTGGACACTTGTCAGTAACTGGTGTAATGTTTCTACTCCTATATTTCATGCCGATTGGATTCTACCAGTCAAGTTTGCAATGTGGCCACCATGCTAGGGGGCTCTCCATCAGGGTATCCGGTGGATTGTCCCATTTTCTGAGGTCCCCTTGAGCTGACCTGAGGATTGCCCGTAGTCTCTCATCTCATCCATATCACACTCTGACCACAGACCAACTCGTCATTTCTCACTTAGATTCAACTCGACCGATCAGCGTATGCCCAATCAATCTCCATTTTTTTCTACATATTTGTTGAGCAATAGATTGGTTCTCCGTTGGTTTGTCCCCACAGTTTCTTGTTGCTAATTTTCTCTGACCGGACGTCTGATCTTCAATATGCAGCCAGTGTAGGCAGCTGTTGATAGAGGTTCGCGGAGGCCTGTTCGAATTACTTTTCGTGACGCACAAGCCATCTTTCTGACACATATAGAAGAACTGACTGACTTGACATTGGTGTTGAAAATCACAATCTTGTTCTCTGCACTGGCTGAGTACACAGGATTTCCATACAAACTGATTGATTTCAGATTGATGAAGGTGTATCTCGCCTTTCCGATTGTGGCTGGCTTTGATATCTTCATCTGTGCCATCCGACTGTGGTTGAAACAATGCTTCATAGCTAGATAAGTGAAGGATCGTTGATAGTGATTGGTGCTGTTTTTTGTTACTGTTGGTTGGTTATCTTCACCACCTCCGTCTTCTCTATGTTGTTCACCCGGAGTCCTATCTTCGCTGCCTGCCTCTTCTGCTAGTTTTTTTAGTTTTCGCCTCCATTAGAGTTACAGCTGACATAAAATTTATGTTAATTATGATTACCTTCTATTTTCTAATATGATTAGGTGAAACAATAAGAAGAGTTACATCTGAATCTATTAAAATGCTTTCCAATATGAGAATGCTTCCGGAGACGAATAATAATTTAAGAAAACCATTAGTTGAAATGCAGTCCGATGTGATTACAACAACTGATTTTGGAAGTTTCTCAGCGAAAAGTTATCATTCTTAGTGTTTTGCCTTTCTGCATTTCCTCGGAAGGGTATATCTAAATAGATGTTTTAATTATTGGATGACACAGGTGTTCAAAACACAGAAACATCATGAGTATATACAAGGCTGCTAACACACTTTGCTGATAAATGTCAACAAGCACGAAACTTATTTCGTATTGATTGTCTTCTGTGACCTGGGCATTCAGCAAAGTACTGATTTTCATAATAAAAGAGCCATAAGTAATAGACAGTTGCAGTAGTAGTCTCTTTGTAATCAACTTGCTTATATGCTGTTATTTCTTTTTCTGCCTGGCAAAATCCAATGAACTGTGTGGAAAGCTTGAACACTGAAGGGCTTCCGGAGACTGATTTTGTATAGATCAGTCTGGATGAATTCATCATTTGGTATATAAATATTCCATTGTGGAGTATTAAATGTTCTAAACATTGTTTTTACTATATGTAGCACAATTTGTAGGCCTGCTCTCCGTGCACTCTTTAGATTTAGTTAAAATTAATTGCATTTCTAAGTCACTCAGATCTTCATTGGACTTAAAGCCGCAAGAATGCCTAGGTAACAGCTAAAGAAATTATCATAATAATTCAGCATTCAAGTGTTGGTTTGTAGGGCTTTGATTGGTGCAGTAGGGTGCAGCAGGTCGGATGTGAGGACAAATACTCGCCGAAGACATTGGCTAGGGGTCGTGTTATGTCGTGAATTGGCAGAAGTTAGAATTCATGGACCATTGATTGAATCGGGTCCCAGTGGCTTAATGGTCTACGAGCTCGCCTTGTAACCAGAAGGTCCTGGGTTCGAATCCCGGTGCGTGCGTACTGCTGAAGCGTCCAAAACCAGGATGAAACAGCTGTCCAGTACTCCCAGGTTTTCCAATGGTTCTCTAACTAATGTCAGCTCATGATGAAAATTCAGCATTCATTTGAAAACAAACTCACATTTTATTTGACACATTAGGAACTGAGATCCCAAAGTATCATTTGTTTGCCGACAGAATACGGGTACTCTGTGTATTGCATGAGCACAGTAAACTAAATTTCTCTTACACTCTTCGCGAAAACCGAGAACTCAACTGTTAAGATCAGTTTGAAGTGAATCACAGTGAGGTGAGTTCACTACCTAGTCATTTTTCATTAAGCATTACACAGCTCGTTACTCCAAACCTAATACTGTTCCACTGAAAGCAGATCCTTACATCATGTATATATATATGCCTCTCTTGAAAGTAAATCAGCATAGAATACACAACTTTAATAGTTGAATCCACAAAATGTTTCAGCAAACGCATAGTAAGGCAGTTTGCGTAAAAAATACCAAAAAACCTAACAACTAAAATGACAGTGGACACGAAAAACCATCTGTTGTTTAGCAAAAGTCCATTACAAGATATCTGTGGTAATATGCATCGGCATAGTAAATTCACACATTATTTAACTCAAATGTAACAAATTTAGTCGGACAAATTAGTATATTTTGGTAGAAGGATAATTCATCTTCAGTTGTGCGCAAAAAGCTTTTTTTCCCAAATTTCGATTACAGTGTTTTCACCTAGAGTAGTTTCTGCCTTTCAGTCAATAAATAAGCAAAACACAATGGTAGCTTGAAGCAAACAGAGGATTAACAGCCTACACACTTCCTCTTATAAATTATTTTTTATTCTACTTCGATAATTTTGTGTATATAAAGAAATACCAAATCCAGGGTGAACATAGTCTATTCATTGGATAAAAATAGCAGTAATTGCGCAATTTATTTATATATCTCTACTAATAAAGCTTCCATCAATGGGACTAACTACATTTACGATAATAAAACAGGTGTTAATCATCAGTACAAATACCAGCCTAAATGAAAAGCATTCAATGCGAACAGCAACTTTATTTGAAAAAGAAACAATGCAACAAATCGATGAAATTACTTTGTAACGACAGAAGACAAGGGTCAGGCAACAGATTGTTTATTGAGGAAATCAAGAGATATTTATATATGTTTATGTACATTATTATTCGTTATTATTACCAGATAAACAGCGTCTTCTGATTGGTCATTTTCTCACTGGAAGTTATTCCGTCATCTCTTTGTGGCCAGCTCTTTGAAGGTCAGACCATATATCTGCTAATCGTATATGCCCACCCTAAGTTTTTGTTCTTGTTTTTCTCATGACCAAGATTTGGGGCGTATAAATTGACGTAAATTGCTGTCTACCAATTTTGGCTAGCAGACAGCTCTCACCATATATATATATATACATATGTATATATATATGTATATAAATATATATGGTGGACTGGATTATGCGTCGGACTGTGGGGGTTGAGAAGACAGCAATACACTAGACCGACAGAAAGACTCGAGAAGATCTGGATTTCGAGGATGATTTATGTTTAATTTCACACAAACAAAAGCGAGATACACCTTCATCAATCTGAAATCAATCAGTTTGGAAATCCTGTGTACTCAGCCAGTGTAGAGAACAAGATTGGGATTTCCAATACCGATGTCAAGTCAGTTTGTTCTTCCATGTGGGTCAGAAAGTTGGCTTGTGCGTCTTAGGAAGAAGCATCTCCAACAGCTTGTTGCAGACTTTCATTAACGGCTGCCTTCACTGGCTCCGTATTGAAGATCAGATGTCCGGTCAGAGAAAATTAGCAACAAGAAACTATGGGGACAAACCAACGAAGAACCAATCTATTGCTCAACAAATATGTAGAAGAAAATGGAGATGGATTGGGCATACGCTGAGGAGACCGTGGAATGACATCGGTCGAGTGGAATCCGAATGGGAAATGACGAGTTGGTCTGTGGTCAGAGTGTGATATGGCGTAGATTGTGTGAGGATGAGATGAGAGATTATGAGGAATCGTGAGGTCAGCTTAGGGGGACCTCAGAAAATGGGACAAATGGAGATGTGTTGCTGAAGCCCTATGTTTCATTCGGAACCCAAGGGAACAATAATAAAGAAAATTTAACGCCAAGTGATTGATGAGAACTTCCTATCACAATTAATTTTTACATTATCACAAAGATACAAACATTCTGATATTTAGTTGCTGTTCGAAAACAAAGTGCAAACACCTACGATATAAATATCCAATCTTGCATCATTAGAATCTGAGTATTTGGAACAGAAATGAACTATATTTACTGACAGTTAAGTGTTTTTTCTTATTTTGTATCCTTGTAAACTCGTAGGGATAATAGTTAAAGTCCTTTTGTTTTTCAATTATGAAATTTAGTTTCCATATGTTGATAGTGAAGCAGTTTTTTTAGTTGTGATTTACTACTGGTTTCAGTAAAAAAGTAGTCAAAGATACCTCACATATAAAAACAGAATATGAGACAAATGAAACCACAGTGACAGAAAAGAAACTGTTTATAGAATAGATAAATTTCAGGCTCTGTTTTTTTCAGTTTTTATTATGAAAATGAGACAGTTATATCAATATACCTACATATTTATATAGTGTCTGTATAGAGGCATATCTCTATCTATTTATTAAATTTATGTACATTAAAAGCTGTTTCTGATTTTTGGCATTGAACACACTGAATATGAAAGTTCATTCATTTTCAATGGTAATGTCAAAATCTTGACATATTTAATGTTAAAATATGAAAAGGAAAAATGTAGAGCAAAGATGGATAGACATCACGAAAAAAAGATTCATTCTCATGCTTTACATTTTTTGTATTTCATCTTGATCTATCAAAGTCCAAAAAAAAAAACAAGAAAAACAAACAAACGGAAAGACAATAGAGAAGCAGTTGACAAAATGAAAATGTTTATTTCTGAAGTTTATATCTCGATACTTGTTATTAAAAATGTAGCTTTCTGTAGATGCTTTTGTTCCAACGGTATGAGGATGACAGTCGAAGTATCAGTTGTTTGTAATGCATCAACGAGAATCTACTTTATGTAGGTGGAATAAATGGCTGACTGCTACGAAACTAAATATATTTCAAATATTCCTTCTTGAATGCATTTTTATAGTGTTCATTATATTTTTGTGTTGTTAGTGAGGTAGCATTTTAGTTTCAGAAATATGACGTTTCATCTGTATTGAACGATCAGTTTCAGTTAAATGTCCTAATGACATACTTGCTCCTTCATTACCTCTTGATAGGTAGAATGAATTTGAATCACATCTAACCAGTGTTTCTCGATTATTTGTTTGTCCATGCCAGGGTAACTTCTCTCGAAAACTTTGAGTACGATAATTTTCCATACTGGCTGCCTCACTACGACCAATAGTATTCAAGCCTTGATTGCTGTGATAAGTAGTACTCATCGCATCCACTGAATTATGGTTGTTATGATGACTGTCGTCATCATTACAGTTATTGTCATTACTTAGATTATTACTGGTAACAACTGTATTCATATTTTGATGATGTTGGTGATAATAGCCGTGACAAGCTTGATTTACATCGGATAAATTAGATGGATAACATTCTGATGAGAAGGAAGACGATGGACTTACGGTACGTGATGTCGATTTACTATTACGCTTACCACCATTTGGTGGCTTCACTTTTGATGGTCGACATTCTCGACGCAATTGATCAAGTTCTGATTCTAATTGTTCAATTGATTTTTCTTGTTGTTTTATCACTTCAGTTTTAGAGGCTACTACTTCTTCAATTTCTTGACGTTCTAGTTGAAGCATTTTTTTCAATTCTTGCAATCTAAATCATGAAAGGAACAGATTTTTAAAATGGGACACTGAAACGAATAATGAATGAAAAAACTTAGGATAATATAACAACATTGTCATATAACAATCGTTTACGTAAACAGATTCGTTGGTGCTATTTAAGACCATTCCATTATTTTGGACTGTGAGAAGTGAACTGAGTTCTCACATATCGAAAAGTTTACAGAAATGAACTGTTATATGCACTTTTGGATAAGAATAAATTCTCGAAATCTATTAATGAAAGAAACGGAACTGATTTAGATGGAAAGCAACTTAGAGAGGTTTTAAAGGGATTGGAAAACAATCATTTAACTAGTCAAGACCATTATGAAAATTGACTAGTCATAAGGACATATCAAGGTCAAAGTAACAATGAAACCACTACCACTAAATCAAAGCAGCTTGATAACTAGACAAAGACTGAACGCTGCTGTCAAAAAGACTTTTTATGCAGCCAATATCATAATAATAGAGAATGTAAAGCAAATATATCTCTCTAAGCCCTTCGAACATGAGAAAAATGACGTCACATCCCACTGTATTTACCAATTTGAATGTACGTGTGGACACACATACATAGGGAGGACTCATCGATCTCTGCAAGTAAGGGCTTCAGAGCATATTCCTAAATGGCTCCAGAAACAAATGGAATCTTCAGAACCCATTAATAGTGAGAACAGGAGACCTAGCTCCTCTATTGCAAAACATATTATAGAAACAGGACATAAAATTGACGTTAAGAGATCTTTTAAACCTATCTATAAAAGGTGTTTGGGGCGTATCCAAAAGTTTGTGGAAGCCCTAGCAATTAGAAAGTTTAAGCCACCTTTATGCGTTCAAAGACAATTTGTCATCACATTAAACCTTCCTTGGTATTGTTTGTTTAGTGGTCTTCATTGTTACTTTGACCTTGAATATGTCCTTTAAACTTGACCTAATCTATTTTCACTCTTACTTTATTATATTATGAAAATATTAACGAAACAGGATCAATAGTGTCATCGATCTATGATTTATTGAAGGTACACATAACTGGCTTTTCACTGTGTCCAATTTTGGATATTGCACGATCTTTCTATCGTCCAATAACAAATACGTTAGCTAAAATCGTGGATCCTATTAAGAAACAATTATCCATCCACTCCCTGAGTGATATCTTCAAACTCGTCAACTATATGAGGGATATGAGTACATCTATGACCAGATCCGACCAACAGGTTCAATGATACCAAGACTTTATTGTCTACCAAAGGTACACAAGGTTGGTCTCCCACTTCGTTCAATTCTGGATATGTCAGGTTCCCCTTACCACTCTGTTGCAAAATGGCTGGCAGATATTCTGGAACCTGTGAGGAAACAATTATGCACGCACTCGCTCCGTGACATTTTCCAGTTCATCGACTGCATACAAGACCTGAATGTATCTAACAAAATTATGCTGTCCTTCGACATTGAGTCACTTTTCACCAATGTCCCACTCACGGCCTTTTTTTACTAACACAAGCTTCACTGCAATACAGATGAAAACATAATGGTGTAGAATGAAGCAGATTGACTATTAGTTGCGCTTACTACTAAAGTAATCATGAATAACAAACTAATCATCAAAGTTGAATGTGGTTATCAGAGGTGACAAGAGATTTATAAAACAGACATAAATAATAAAAACAGTAGAAGTGGTTCATCAGTTTTCTTTAGAGTGATTGTGTTTGGATTTGCGACGCAGGTATTCTAAGTATCAGTCGAAATCCGTCTACTTAGTGTTTGTCGTGATCACTAATTTGAGAGGCACAATAAAGCAATATACTGGTTGGAGCTAGTTGGTACTTGCAGGTAAGGCTTCTAATCTCAGCAATCAGTGATGTATTTTTAAATTCAAATGCTGCATATGTGTATGTATGAAATATCGTAGTTGTATGGATTTTACACTGAAGTGGCCTATTTTCTTTGTCGCTTAGGCTCACTATGTATGCAAACATTCTAACATATTACTATTATTTACAGATTGTTTCATCATTCAAGTTGTCTAATTTGATCATATTACTAATTTACTAATCGGTGCTATCTGAAAATATATTTTTCGTGTCCTTTTGGTTTCACAGTTTCCATTTAGTTCTTCTGGTTTTCTTGAGAACCGTTCACCAGTGTTGACTAATACTCTTACTTCATCACTACCCTGCTTCTTGTGTGGAGTTGTATTTAGTGTTTAGTATTTTTCAACTAACATTGGCTTTCTAGAAGGCAGATGGTATTCCAAACTAAAGACTGTGTCCGTTTCTTCGTGTTATATGGTCTTGTTACTGATGACAGATATTAGGCTGACAATAATCAGTTGAAAATATTACCATATCAGGCAGACTAACGTAGTGTGTTAACACAGTCACTAGTACCGCTCAGAGATAAGAATATCTTCAATCATACATAATTTATCATATGTTGATACTGATGATTGTAGTAGTGTGGTGAGAGCTGTCTGCTAGCCAAAATTGGTAGACAGCAATTTACGTCAGTGTTTACGTCCCAAATCTTGGTCATGAGAAAAACAGGAACAAAGATTTGGCGGGAACGGATACGTTTCGCACATTTATATATATGGTTTGACCTTCAAACAAATGGCCACAAACAGATGACAGAATAACTTCCAGCTAACAATAACGTATAATAATGTACATACAAATATATAAATATCTCTTGATTTTTTCAATAAACAATCTGTTGCCTGGCCCTTGTCTTCTGTCGTTACAGTACTGCATGTGATATACACCTAGTTTTGCCTAAAACCTTAAAACAACTATTTTAAAGAGTTATCGCGCACCGACATGAGCTCTTTTTCCCTCTATTTGGATTGCTGGATTCCTATCGGCTGTTAGTGCTTTTAATGCATCACTGAATTACTGCATTTTAAAGGTCGTTTTAACTGTAAATATACAGAGTTTCTGTGTAGCATTTTGACTGTTGTTTGAGACAGTAAAAGCTCTCTTATCGACGTCCAGTCTTTTCTTTTGTCTTTGCGTACCGACGGTGTTACTGTTGTTGTCGACGTTCGATTAGGACAGATTAGCCAGCGCATTAAGTTAGTATTCGCTCACAGTCTACTAAGTTGTAGTTCGGGTCACAACACTGCAAAATCCTTTCGACAGTTTTCGAGGAATAATGAAAAATTTTCGGTTTTCATATGTACAAAATACCGTTCTGTATCGCTACACTAGAGAACTTTAGTCTTTAAGAGTAAGATTTCTGAGGATAGCTCTCTATCGGTTCGAATGTTTTTCTTGTCAATGTTTTATTTTCACTGTTTGTTTTATGTAAAATGTGTCTGAAAGTATTAATATCACTGGCCTATTTTATGCGTTTCATAAAACTGAGTTGCTATAAACTTTCTGTTTTTTTAAAATTTTTATTATTATAACTACTCTTATCATTATTTCTACTTGGACTATCTTGTCTAATGGTATTTGTTTGTCTGTAGTAAATTTTCTAGTCCATATGTGAAGTTTTTATAGGCCAAATCCGTTCATCCATTGCTTTTTTTCTCATGTTTTGAAGCGTCAGAAATTCCTTAGTCTATTGTTTGAAAATTTTCCCATGAAATTATATGTAGGCATAATAAATCTATTTCATTATTACCTAATTTGTAGATGCAATAAAAAGTTTAAAGCAGTCACTTTGTTTTCTATGAATTTCGATAAACTGGTAGAAATAAATAGTTCATCGAAATGGTGTAATATATACCTGTGTTAGTGGATTTCAAACAGTTTGGTGATACCATCCGTTAATACACGTTTATTATTCGTAAGAAATCACGTAAAAAGCAGTAGAGTCAAACTATGAGAGAAGGAGAACAGATGAGATAAGAAAGACATAGTGAAGATCAATTAAGTAGCACGAGAATAAAGAGTAACTTTGTCTCAGAAACCAAAATTATTAAGGATTCTTTAGTATTCAAATGAACTGTCGTCAAGATTTGACCGAATATTTATAAAATTATATTTGTAAAATCTCAGCGAAATTGAAATGATTAATTATTTCAATTTCGCTGAGATTTTACAAATATAATTTTATAAATGTCTACTTCTCACTCAGCGCTCAATTATTTTGCAACTATCCGTCAAATCTTGATCACAGTTCATATGTGTGAGAAGTAGACATTTGTAAAAAAATTATATTTGTAATATCTCAGCGATATTGAAATGAGTAATTCCAACGTTTCGTTCGTTTTGATTAATTTCCCTGAAGAAGTTCGAACCAGATTGCCGAACGAAACGTTGGAATTACTCATTTCAATATCGCTGAGATATTACAAATATAATTTTTTTTACAATGGTTCTTTACTATGATAACATTCGCCAACTGCGCACTTGGTCCGAGGTTTGATCCCCGGCCGACGCACTCCTTTACCTCTCTAAGCCTGTAATAAGACTTGTGAAGAGGGAAGGTTGGACGTAAGGCTAGCAACCCCACCCCGGAAAAATAAACACCGCTGCTACCGAGACTTCAGGCCTCCAGCTTGAAGCCGTATGTTCCACTTGGGAAGTAAGGGAATAAAATGAATAACGAGAGGTTATTTGTAAATGCGCAAACGTGACTTTGGCCTCTGAATGGCTTAATTTTCAATAAACTTGAGGATTGGCCTCAAACGAATTTTTCCCAAATAGTTTTATACAAAATTATGTCGGTTTGTAGAGCTTGGGGTTGGACAACACAATCTGCTTCTGAAGCTACCTAGACATTGGCTTTGAAAGCTATTCCTCCATCCCTAGATGTGTAACATTGATATATTTGTTAAAATCTCATGGGATAGCTGGAAGAAAAGTTATTCTTAGAGAGGTTTTATTTTCAATGGACTTTAAGTCTATAGATTACATCTCTGTTTCTTCATTTTTCCTAAAAGCTTATTTTCACTTATAACTATATCAGGTGAAATTAGTAGATGAACATGATAGTATCGTCTGTACTGAATGACCGAGCAGTCACATTTACCGATGAAAAGAAAAAAACACACGCTAAAATTAAAGTCTGGAAGTACAATGGCACTAAATGGAAATAGAAATAGCAAGAGCGAATTACCTTTCAGCCAATTGATCTAAACTTGGTGATTCAGACAGATGAGTTTGTCTTTTGCTAGAAATTTTCCTAGGTGTATTTTTCTTTGCAGTGACTTTTCTTTTGCATTCACTTGTATTCTCCGTACTACAGTCTGTTATCCGATCATCATCATTGTAATTATAGTCACTGTCACTTGTGCTTGTTTGATCTGTATTAATGGATGTTGAATTTATTGGTATCAATATTCCGTTAATATCATCTTCACTAGTACTGTTGTTATTAGTATTATTATTATTATTATTAAGTAGTGAATTAACATTCATTGGATTATTTGACCTTTCATGCAGACGATAGTTATTGCCCAACACACGACCTGTTGCTATCGGTGTAGAATTATCTGATTTCGAGTCAGTTATCTTTTTTCTCGTGTGATGATAATGATGACCGCGTTCGCTGATATTTTGTTTGAAAAAATCCTTTTCAATTCTGTCATTAATTAAATGATTTTTGATTGTTGAACCGTTAACGGTTGGTGTGTAGGCATTATGCGTAATCATCTCTCTTTCTGAAGGATGATACTTCGTCTTATGTACAGATTGTGTTGATTGACTTAAATTACGCGAAATATTTGAGACAGGATGATAAGAATTCGGCTGAACCTTTTCAATACACTCATTTAATTGACGTAATTGCTCACGATACTGACTCATTAGCTCTTCCATGTTTTCCGAATTTTCAGGAGTATTTACATTTATTCGTTTCAATTTTACATCAGAAGAACTAAATTTACGTGGTAAATAGTCTTTTTGAAGAACTGAGGAACTCCATGAATCTTCTTCTTTTGTAGCTGAAGATCGTCCACTTTCATTGTTGCCATTAATCGATGAAATGTTTGAATCTTCATTGTTGGTAGTGTGTGTGATTTGTTGATTTTGGACTGTTTTCATATTGGCGGGTAATTCTTTTCTGTTGACTTCATACACATTAGTCACCTGATGAAATCATTATGACACAAAAATTAATGCTTATGAAGAATTGCAAAATGGAATGAAGTAACTAAGTTTTGTGGAAATTTAGAATTCAATATCGGAAACTAATTTTTGCAACTAAAACTTTTACTATGATGAATTATTATTTCGTTCTCTTCTAAGGACTTTCTGTGGTATGAAATCATAAGTTTTGTTGAAATTGGACTTAGTTTGTAATTCAGAAAACAAACTTGATTGGTCAATAGGCGAAAACTAATGCCATATTGTCTAGTCCTTAGTGTTGTTGCTGTCCTGTATTTTCAGTAGAAATTTTGTCTGCCCATTTACTTAAAATAGCTTTAGTAATTCAAACGTGCTGCTTCTTAGTGGCTAAAATCATAAAGTGGGAACCATGAAATTTTTCACGGTAATCAGGAGACGTTAAATCGTAATACCTGCTAGCTAGATAGAGTTCATCTAAACCCTGGTACACTGATGATTAGCTCACCCTTGAATGAGATAAACTGTCGTCCGGCTAACAAGCACTACTGGTTCACAGAAGTGTTTCTCACCTACTTATGTCAAACAGAAGTCTATGCCATAATGGTACTTCCCTTGCTTTCTTGATTGCCTTCCAGATCTCATATATTTTAGATTTTCTGATCAAATCATGGTGAACTTTCACCTCGAACCGTTTTTATTTGTGAATGAAGAATTTAACTTTGTTACTGAATGTTATGAAGCTAAAATATAATTTAATTTCTTATAGAGAAATAGTTATAAGCCTTTGTTTTCTCCTGTAACTTGACTTCATACGTTTTTCTACTTAAATTTGAGATGGTTAAGATTTAAGATGGTTAGGACATGTGTTACGTATGCGTAGCCATCGCTTTCCTTGACGGGCAATGTTAGCTGATATAGGATTAATCAGGCTGGAAAAGAGCTAGTAGTGGTCAAATCAAAGCATGGCCTCATCAGTCAATGAAATCCACAACATTTAGTTTAAGGCACGTTGGGAGGTGTAGACTAGCTTCTTGGTTGGCGTCCTCGGGGTAGAAAGAACCAATGACTGGAGACAACTAGTGATATGGGTGAAAATCGTTAGCAATGGCGCAGATGCATTCACTCTTTGTGATTCATAATATCTATTAAAACTCTATTGTTCTTCCATATTATTATTCTTTTTTCCTCACACTTCTGTCTATTATCTCTCTTCTGATGAATCTCTCTTTACTCTCTTCTCTTGCTTTGTGTGCTACATGGAGTGAGTGTGGCAACTCGAACTGCTACATATCTGTACAAAGTTCTATGTTGAAACCAGTCAGTCAGTCACTTAGATTAGATTTCTCTGTTTTTCGATTCATGAAGAACTTTGGTTTTGTCATATGAATTTGAGGAGTTATATCATCAGTGAGTTATCTGTTGATTGTCGTCAATCTGTATGTTCGTTAATCTCTCTTAATTAAACTTCTATAACAACTGTCTTGAGCCGTTTTTTATCAGATGTAATACATGATAATCACTTCATCATACTGATTGTTAATTATTTTTAAATATTCATGTCCCTGGCTTCGCTGTCATTCTTAAGTGGCTTCATTTTAATAAAGTTGGAATAAAAACGTGAGTTGCAATCGGACTCAAATCAGGCTCATCAGGATTACTAGCCTGGAACATTACTGACTGAGATACAGAAGGCAGCTGCTCACTACATCTTCACTCCACTACAGTCACTGCCTCAGTCCTTCTTTAATCAGTATTCGAATATCTTAGCCGCAAAATGCAAATGTACCCACCAATGCATTAATATTCTTTGAAGGAGCAATCAACGACATCTGCACTGATAAAATGCCTAGCCATAAGCTTGCAGGGGACTGGTAAATGAAACGAGTCACTGTGAATAATATTTATTGCAAAAGATACTTTGTTCACAATACTTCTCATAGATACTTTAAAAATATAATTTACTCACAGGTGGGTTAGTTGTGATCGTTTCTGATTGTCTTCTGCTACCTGCATTTGAAATAGGATTTTGTACATCAAAGCTATGGTGTCTTTGCATTCCACACCTACAGGCCATTGAATTTTGTAGATTATTTGTGTATTTTTCACAATTACACGTTCTCTTATGAGTCCATGATGTTAAAATATGATTGTTTAATGCGTCTGTTATATCTTGTAAAAGACTTGGCAATTCTGCAATTCTAGGAGTGATCTGAAACATTTGAAAGAGAATAAAGAAATGAATGTAAGCCTAAATTATTTTTCAAAGAAATTCTTAATATCGTAGTTTCAATGTTAATTTGTGATCTTTTCCTACATACACTGTTATCACAGAACGGATATGATTTGCTCCCTATGCAAATAATTCGAAAACAAAGATATGAATATCAGAATACCGACTCCCAGGTTAAATGAACTTCTACTTAGATGCACTTTGAACGTCCAATTCACATTCAGTAGTGTTATCTACAAACACCAAGATGGCGTAGCTATGAGGTCACCATTGGGTTCGATACTTGCAGATGCTTTTTTTATAAGCCGTTTCAAGTGGTAAATTTCAAATAAGACCCTACTATCAGCATACTGGCAGGTCCCAGTTTGGCGTTCATGTCTCCCATTAGTATTTTAATGTCACCAACTGGAGTATTGTCCATTGTTGCCTGTAGTTGTCTGTAGAATTCTTCTTTCTTTTCGAGGTCTGCGTTGTTTGTGGGTGCATAGCATTGTATAACTGATACTTTCCTTCCTTTGGAGTTGAATCTGGCGGTCATTATCCTGGGTGAGATCGCCTCCCATTGCATCAGGGCCTTCGTTGCCATTGGTGACATCATGATAGCCACGCCCTCGGTGTGCGTGTGGTTGTCTTTTGGGTGACGAGAGTGTATCACTGACTCTCCCGTTGACAATTTGATGAGTCCATTCCCGTTCCATCTGCCTTTACATATTCCCAGTACTTGAATTCCGTATCTTTTCATCTCGTTTGCAATCTGGGAAGCTTTGCCAATCTCGTACATGGTGCGGACGTTCCATGTCCCCACACAGACTTTTTCTTTTGGCGCAAGGAGATTCATCGTGCTGAAGTTTCTGTAGCAACTTTGTTTACAGGGTGGGGTTGCTAGCCTCACGCCTGAGAAGGGGATTGTTACATTAAAATCGGGAAAGTAAGACAAGCTTTCATTACTCTCAAGTCTGTGTGGAGGTCAACAGCACTCAGCATCAAAAATAAGGTCCGGATTTTCAACTCCAATGTGAAGCCAGTGCTACTATACGGATCAGAGACTTGGCCAGCGTGTCATAAAGAGCACCTCAAACAAACTACAGACCTTCATTAACAGTTGTCTTCGCTCAATACTCAAGATCAGATGGCCAGAAAAGATCAGCAACAGAGATCTCTGGCAATGAGCGAACCAACCAGGAACCGATTGTGAAACAAATAGGCAGGAAGAAATGGAGATGGATTGGCCATACTCTAAGGAAACCATCAAGTGACATCACTAGACAAGCCCTTGAGTGGAACCCGAAAGGGAAGCGGCGAGTTGGTCGTCAGTGCAAGGGTGACTTGGAGGAGGTCATGTGAAGAGGAGATGAAAACGTGTGGGCAGACTTGGAGCCAGGTGAAGACTGTAGCAGAGAACCGAACGCAATGGAGACGCACGGCTGAAGCCCTATGTTCCTCTAGGAATTAAAGGGAATAATAATATAATAATAAATCAGCATACTGATATAATACTACTCTTTCATCATATAAATCAATATAGCTTTTGATAGCTAAAACACAAGACCCCCAACACGTTTGTGTGAATACAAGTACTTGGTCTCGCTGTATGATTGTGGAAATTTTTCAGTAAAAACTAAGCATGCTTAAGGGATAAAACAAGATTTTCCTGGACATATCTATGTTTGAAACTATTACTTCCACAGTAGAAGGTTACTTTGGTGAAACTTTAAAGTAAATGACAAGAATACACATAATTATAATACAAATCTCAGAAAATAACTTACACTAATTTTATTTACATGAACATTAAGTAATTGGGTAAGTTTTGCAAATTCATATCCTAATTCAATAAATTCATGACAGTCAGAAACAGGAGACGACTGGTAACTTGAATCATCAGTTGTTGAGATTGATCGAAGAAATTTATACATGACCGGGATTTCTTGTTCAACAAATGAATTCAAAGATTTCATATGAGGCTCTTTATCTTCAAACAAGGTTAAATTAGCTAAATTCTGCAGAACTTTAGCTATTAATGTTAAATTTCTGGGTATACGATTATCTTCTGGTATTGATGAAGCTAGACCAAATAGAACTGGACCGTGAATAGCTGGACATATGAAACGTAGAAATAAACAGCTTGAAATAAGATGTGCAGCTGACTGAACTCCATGGGTTTCTTCGACAGCAGCTGCTAATGCAATAAAGACTTCACGTAATTCTCTGTTGTTCAAAAAAGGATAGAAATTACAACAAGTTAGTTACTTCACGCATCAAGATGACGAAATTTGAACATGTAATTAAGCGAAGTTTAATAAGCCATCAAACTATTTAATAGCCCTATTAAGTATGTCTTTTGATATTCAAGTGTTAGTTTTCAGGGATTTGAGTAGTTACAGGATTTCATCATGAGCTGACGTCGGTTAGAGAACCACTGGAAAACCTGGGAGTACTGGACAGTCGTTTCGTCCTAGTGTGGGACTCTTCACAGTATGCACCCACCGGGATTCGAACCATAGGCAGCTCATGATGAAATCCTGTAACCAATCAAATCTCCGTAAACCAACACTTGAGTATCAATCTGATGCTCACTAGCGACTGGCCTTATTCAGGTAGGTAGTTACCTGGGTTCTAGTAAGAAGTCGTGACCAGTGGTGTGCAGCATGTCGTGTGTGAGGACAGATACTCGCTGATGATATTGGCTAGTGGTCGAGCTATGTCGTGAATTGGCAGGAGTCGGAATCCATGGGCCACTGGGTCGGGTCTCTGGGGCTTAGTGGTCTACGAGCTCACCTTGTAACCAGCAGGTCCCGAGTTCGAACCTAGGCGTGGGTGCTTACTGTGAAGAGTCCCAAACTAGGACGAAACGGCGTTCAAGTACACCTAGGTCTTTTGATATTATTTAATAAGATTGGATATAGTAATGTCGGATCACACATCTACTGGGTTAAAAACAATCAATTTAAATGAGCCTAATACTACCGTAGTACTGCTGTATTTAACTCAGTTATAAATATTCTCTGAATTGTATTATCTCACAGTCATAGTATTTGTGACTATCTACTATTATAATGAGCAAAACGACTCTTATTTTTAACAATTTTGTTAGCTAGTACAAAAATATAAAACAACCGATTCTGGTTTCTGCTTATAAAAATCCCCTCTGCTGCATAATTTCACTTTTCTAGAGAGAAAAGACTGCATTAATTGGATCTGTAATCACTTTAGTTATAGTCACCTTGATTTGTGAAAGTTGTATGAATGTTCATGATTTCCAAAGGTTATTTCTTTACCATAAATTGTGCTAAGCAATTTATTACTGTTTTATTTCAGCTTGACTAATGTAGACAGGTAAAATTAAAGGCCTCACAATATTCCAACTGTTATTTCACCAAAAGCTTATTCAAATGTCACTAGATAGTGGGTGAATGTGAATACAAGGAGATTCATATAAACAATTTAGAATTTCAGTCAAAATCTACCCATAAACTCTGAGATTTTAGGTGCACAAATGGATGACCAACATGAATTATGTATCGCACAAAATTTACACTATAAGTGGTGATAATATATGTCAAGCTAACACTCAATAAACAGTAGTTTAGCTTCGAAGTTTGGCGAATAACAAGATTGGTTTCGCTGTTAAATGTTGAAAATGCTCCTTTGGACTTTGAAATAATGGACATTAGATACAGTGAGTATATTTGAAGGCACATTTCGCAGTTTTTGACTGATCAAAAAATTTAGGGTCTTAAAAATTGAAGTCAACCCCTTTCAAAAACTAGTAGTAGTTATAGTAGATAGGATTATGATTGGCAGAATAACTGCTTCATTGGGCTTCAAAGTTTAGCGAAGTACGGGATTGATTATCCTCGTTTGATATTCATTACGAATGTTCTACTAATCATCGTTTTTTAGGCGGTTTTAACTGATGAAACCACCTTTTAGCACACTGTTGCTGTATAGGGATACTGTACAGTTCAACATCACTGACATGACTGATATCAAAAGCAAACTGGAGAGCTTTATTTAATTGTAAAAGCGTTTTCAGTCTGAGGAAAGATACTAGCAGAGGTAAATTATATTTATAGACGTTTAAACTTACCTAGGTATTTTACATTGACTGGCCTCAATCCTTCGCCATATCACAGCAACATATTTCAATAGAGCTGTGCGATTTCTTTCTAATATAGTGTGTAATGGATTGCGGTTATTTGATGCATTTGATGTATCATTCGTGTTCCCCAGTCTTGAAGGATCTACTTCAAATTCATCTTCAATGACAAGTAACTGATCGATTGTTGAACTTAAAAGGTACTTCAAGTACTGAAAACAAATTATAAGATGAGAAAAAAGGTTTATAAAGTTCTCCTATGTAGAGCATAACCATCTGACAAACAAATCAGTCTCACCAGAATCTATCCAAATCAATGGTTAAGTGTAATAGGTTGTTTTCCCCTTTAATATCGGTGACTGTTTGTGACAGCTTCAACTTACAGTATTCACCAGGTAGTTTCAGGTTTAGAAAACGCTCGAGCTATTGAAATTTTAATTTAAAGTCAAACAGTTTATTCTTTGTAATCTTTAAATTCGCTAGAATGTTTCTTGTAACGTGAGTGGGTCCACTTAAATAGTAACCAATATCAAAGTTAGTAACATCTAGTAGAATATGAATTCGGTGTGAGTTAAAAGTTGTTGTCAAGATCTTCTAACTGACCTGAGTTATGCGCTTGATGGCCTCATTTTTCGGCACTGGTTTTCAGTATCTAACACAGTTCTAAGTAATGTCGATTTCAACTTTAATAGCTCAATGTTAGCACTCATTAGGTTTAACTTCCTGGTGAGTACCAAACAGTACCTCTGGCTGTTTCCACCTACCTAAATTCAAACGAAAATACACCGAGAGAGAAGGATTTCAGCATGCCATGCATGACACAATCCATATATTGTTGTGATACTGATACCATTGGTTAATGACTGGGTAATTAAGGAATTAATTAATTAATGTAGTTGGAACAATGCAATCAACCCCCACTAGTATAAATTTGTCAACTTTATTCATACTACTTGTAAGTAGCCAGGCTATGTTTGCGAAACTTAGAAGTGTAACATAAATTAGTTGAAGCCCTAACCATAAAAGGGCTGAAATCTAATTGGTTTTCAAAAATTATTTGACGTTTGCATGCTCCATCAATTTTTTATGCATGTGTATAACAAGTACACTTGTGACCAGAATGTTCCAAATGTGTTGCGCATATACACCACACATTTCATATAAAGTACTACCTGTTGTTTTATCGAAATTCATATGTAAGAATGTATTAGTTACGTACTAACACTATACTAAATATTACTGCTGGCATTACAGTCCATGAATTTATTACATGAAAAAAGTGACTTTCGTCACAACCGATGGATAACTGGAACTCAAAGGGTACTAGATAGTGAGCAGTGAGCTCAAGACATCATTCGAAACAGTGTCCGTGACTACTAGCTTACACGGGTAGGAAATTAGCCTTGAGATACTTTCTTCCAGGTTTAAAGTACACCAGCAAGGATAGACAATATTTAAAGAACTTTTTCCCAATTTTTATTAATTTGAATAAATTAATATTATTAATGTTGAAAATTACTTTTCTGGCGTATAATTATTTCTAGTAGCATTTATCATTGTACCGAGACGATAAATATCGGCGAAAATGAAGGGGAAAGTAATATATGCATATTATCCCCTCACTATTCTAGATTCTTGTTCATATGCATTCTCATTAAATCATTGAAGAAAAAAACCAACAAAAGTTAGTCGTGTAGACAAAAAGGAAGAAATTAGGCGCATGTTTTTACTAGGTATCTATCTTGTCAGTAGAGATAAGTAATTATAAAAAGGAGATATGATAAATAATTAAGTAAAGATAAGTAATAAAATGTCGCTTGTAGGCGGAAAAAAGTTTCTCTCAGTCATTAAGTATTTTATGACTAATTTTGTTTCCTTACTACATGATTCAAGGAAGCTTATATCAGGTAAACTTACAGATCTGTTCGCATTGCAAAACTACCATTGGCAAAGAACTGCTTATACACATAAGTGTGGCCCTTTATTTTAGGAATAATTCTTTTAGTTACTGTCTGTGAAGTATATAACCAAACAGATGTTAAAAAGTTAAAACAATCCTTAAGGTGAGTGATCAAGTAAGAAGACTGGCAAAACACTGATTTCATAAGTATGAATAAATCAGGTGGTCAGTGTAATCAAAGACGCGAATTGTTTATATCCCGAAACCTTCAAACGAGAAAAGTATAATGACAGCATGAATTGTTTTAGAAAAATAAAACGTTTTAATTTATTTTTAACTTTGCCACTTTGAATGTTTCTAGCATTCATTCAGATGCATACGAGACGTAGTAGTCAATGTTCTATTGTGTAAGGTATAATTTTTATCGAGCTATAACGAACAGGTTTCCTTTCGGGGGATTATTGCTCGCCTTATTTACTGTTAAACTACTAGTCGACAAGAATCTTTGAGAAGAGACTATTCTGCATCATCCAGAATACATCAATGAAAGTGGAGATTTCAAACTTATCAGTAATCAATTAAGTTTCATCATTACTTCAAGTCGAACTTTAGGATGTTAGGTACTCACTAGTGATCAGTCGATGTGTTTGATATCATTCTCATTTTGTATTGAATAGATATAGTTCTTTTGTTTCTTTTTATCTTTGGGAACACATCGACCACATCATAGACCCTCTATCGTTCTCTAATATATGAAAACTTAGTGTTCTTACTTAGACTTCATTCATTATGAGAGCTGAAAATGATTCAACACTGCTACGACGATAAAATATATAATTTTCATTTATTTTTAATTATCGGTTTTGTTTGAATAATTCTAAAAACGAAAACAATATTTACTAGACATTAAGTGAATAATATATTGCCTTCATCAAATGCAAACGTTTTTTGCCGATAAAAAGTTCTGTGAATTTTCATAACTGATGTAACAAGCATAGAATGAAAATTTATACGCGTCCATATTCTAACTTATGAATTTTATCAAGTAAATATTTACACTATTCGCCTTCTTGAATTTATATCCAATGTAAGTTTAACTTGATGTCTGGTGAAGTTAGGTGTTTATAAACTCTTTGTTTGGAAGCTTCTAGAAAATTCATTCAACTCATCATTAATACTGAAATTTTAAATTGGTTACAAAAATAACAGTTATTTCACGACACGTCGTCTAAAAGAATGAAAATCCGGTGTACATATGTATACTGTTTGGAGACGGATTCCTTGTTCGACCGTTTAAGTTGGATAGGATAATAATAACACACTGGTGACAATAGGCAGTAACTATCAACATCACAATATAGTGTTAGTTGGCATGGATACAACATTGTTATTAAATTCATTTGTTGAATGGTTATGTGTGCTTATGCAAGGTGTGACAGACATTATTAAACTTAAAATAGAAGTAACAGACTAAGGAGGGGAAAATAAACAGTGCTACTTAGTCTTCGATATTTCCTTAGTTCAAGTGTTGGTTTGCAGGGATATCATTGATTTCAGGATTTCATCATGATGTGACATCGGTTAGAGGATCATTGGGAAACCTGAGAGTACTGGACAGGCGTTTCGTCCTGACTTGGGACTCGTCATCAGTACGCACCCACCACCTGGGTTCGAACACAGGACATTCTTGTAACAAGGAGAGCTCGTAGATCATTAAGCCACTGGGAAGCCACATCATGAATTGGCAGAAGCAGGAATTCACCAACCGTTGGATCGATTCCCAGTGGTGAAATGATTGGTCTACGACTTCACTCGCCTTGTAACCAGAAGGTCCTGGGATCGAACCCAGGCGGCGGGTGCGTACTGTGAAAAGTCTCAAACTGGGACGAAATAGCTGTCCAGTACTCCAAGGTTTTGCAGCGGTCCTCTGACCAATGTCATTTCATGATGATTTCCTTAGTTGATGATAAATTGAAATGACTCACACAGCTGAATATCGTTTTTGAAGTATTTAGCATGCATAGAAATGAGTTTGAAACAAAAAGGCTAAACTCATTGCCAAACTGTTCAATAGTAAGAGCATATGATAACTTTTGATAAGATGTCATGACTTATGATACCCGATATCTACGATGTCCTTTTTGTATTGTCAGTCTAGAAGTGAGGATAACCACGTGAACAGGATGCGTAATATGGATGAATAAATGGATATTTTCAGTGTCAGACACTTTTCTACCTGAGGGAAAAGTGTATAAAGTCTTTGTTCTCAAAATTTCAATAAACAAACTGCAGAGTTACTTCCAGGCTGAAGATATTACTGATTAACACTTTGGTTGGATATCTAAAAGCCTACGCTTTAAACCAAACATATTTATCAACTTGACATCAGTAAAGAGTCACACTATTGATAAATTAATTTTCAAACAAATTATTAAAAAGAAGTTTTGTTTTTACTATTTGATCGCGGATTGATATCAATTAGAGAACCACTGAAAACCAGCACTGCAGTACTGCACAGCTGTCTCGTCAGCCTGGTTCGGGATTCATCAGAAGTACGCACTCACTGCCTGGGTTCAAACATAAGACCTTCCGGTCACAAGACAAGCTCGTATACCATTCAGCAACTGGGTCCCCGTTCGACAGCCAGTCCATGAATTCTAAATTCTACCAGGATGGAGTGTCCTGGAGTTCTAGTGAGAAGTCGTGACCACTGAGGTCCATCCACTCGGGAGTGAAGATGGATTTCACACCGATGACATTGGTTGGTGCCAGTCGCACTAAAATCACGAATTGGTAGGAGTTAGAATTCATGGACTGGTCATTGAATCGGGTCCCAGTGGCTGAATGGTATACGAGCTCGCCTTGTAAGCGGAAGGTATTGGGTTCGAACCCAGGCAGTGGGTGCGTACTGCCGATGATTCCCAAACTAGGCTGACGAGACAGCTGTGCAGTACTCCAGTGCTGGTTTTCAATGGTTCTCTAACTGATATCAATCCGTGATCAACTCGTAAAAAAAAACTAATCCTTACAAACCAACTATAGAAAGAAAAGGTTTTGTTGACTCAGTGTTTCTTTGGATCAAATTTGCATTTCGCAAAATTAATTTTCAGTTTACACAGTTTCAGGTGAAATTTTGCCATAGTTCCCATTGGAAACTGAAATTGCTGAGATCACAATAAGTGATGTGCTTGATACCATAAATAGCAATCAAGAAAGCGAGCATAAATACAGGATGGTATATACTACTGATTGACTGATATGAACAGCTGGATACCATCCACGTCAACTAGCAGTGTCAGCCAGTCAGGCTGAAGTGATCTAAGTAATGAATTCGGATGGTTTGAACCGATTTTACTATCTGATCTGAGCTCGACCTTAAACGAGTGAAACGACAGTCCAGTGTTTAAGATCACTATGATCTGGTGAGCAAGCACTACTGGTTGATGTAAGCGTTATCCAACCATTCATACTAACCAATCAGTAGTATATAACGTCATGCATCCACGTTTCGTTTGTAACAATCAGAGCTTCATACAAACTATAGAAATTACATTCGAATCGTATATAGTTTGCAAGGCGTTTACGTGACATACCACTATGATTAGAAGGCTCTTTAGTCAGCTTAACATCACTCAGCATCAACAACAAAATTCGGATTTTCATACAAACGTCAAGTCAGTTCTTCTATACGGATCAGAAACTTGGCGGGTCACAAAGAATATTTCCAACAGGTTGCAGACCTTTATAAACAACTGTCTTCGCTCTATACTGAAGATCAGATGGCCGGAAAGAATCACCAACAAGAAACTATGGGAACAAACAAAACAAGAACCAATCGCTCAACAAATATGCAGGAGAAAGTGGAGATGGATTGGACACTCGCTGAGGAAGCCACTGGGTGACATCGCGCGTCAGGCCCTCGAGTGGAACCCGAAATGGAAGCGGCGAGTGGGACGTCCAAGGGTGACATTGAGGAGATCGTGTGAAGAGGAGTTGAAACAGTATGGATTAACATGGATGCAGGTGAAAAGTACAGCAGAAGACAGAAGCAAGTGGAGGCGTGCAGTTGAAGCCCTCTGTTCCACTAGGAACCCAAGGGAACAATAATAATAATAATTAGTCAGCTTAAAATAGGCACTAAATAGTTAGACAGGGATTTAATGAATTCATAGATTTCTCCAGGACTTGTAAAAGCGTTTGACTCTTAACACATGGCTTTATAAACTGTTATACAGTGTACGTATATGTGTATTTACGCATCTTCCCATTACTTCTGAAATCACGTACATAGAGTAAAAGTTACTCCAATTTGTACATTCACTGACTTATGTTCTAATAACTTTCTTTTTTTGGCTTGATTTTGTATCTGGAAGCAAAATTTTTCAGTTCTATGAATACCTTGACAACTTTAATATAAATACGCTGATATTTGAACCAATTTTTGCTTTTTAAAAAATCAAAATCGTCACCATGACTTCAAGTTCTTTCCGTATGAAATATGAAATTACTACAAAACCAATACTTGAATAAAAGAGTATTTATCGTTTCAAATAGAAATGAAGGGTAATAACAAGGTACAATTCGATCAGTAAACAAATGTGTACATCGGGTTACTTGTTTATCTCTTTATGTCCTTTTCTAAATTCATTTGTTTGTATTTTTAAATCATACCTTCTGTGGACAACATATTTCTATGTTTTTGCATATACCATCTGTTGAATTCTTGTCAATATTTCAATGATAAATGAATTTAAACTTATTAGATGGTTGGAGGCAATCGGCAGGAAACCTCGGACCTAGATTTTGTGTTAGTTTGCACTCCTCAGCAAGGCGTATCTGCGCTATGGTTAGAAACATTACACTAGTTACTAACTAGTGTCCAATCAGAAATATCCAATACAGTCCTACAGGAAGTCAGACGCGAGCCCAAATAGCTCAATGGTAACGTCTCTGACTGCAGCACTGGGTAACGCCGGTTCGTATCTCAGAAGGGACATGATATCCTTCGAGGTTGCAGATACGCCTTGCTGACTGGTGAGTGCTAGCTAGCACGAAACCTAGGTCAAGCAAGGCTTCCTGTCCGATTGCCTCCAACCACTTAATATCAAATATTCAACGTGCACCGTGATGGCAAGCCACCTAGAATGGTGGCCACATTGCAAACCTGACTGATAGAATTCAGTCTGCACTAAACAAAGGACTAGACACATCACACCAGTTACTAACTAGTGTCCAATCAAAAGAGTTTACACCTAGTCAGGAAGCAATAAATAATTACTTGATGATTACTTTTGACCATTAAAGGCACGAATCACCTACAGCTATATCTTTGTGTCAGAATATTTTTCAACGTTTTGTAGGCTGTTCTAAATCGATTATGCGTGAATTCACTGCGCATGTTTGATTAAAATTACACCTGAGGGATAAACATATTCACATACAGACGTATATATATCAATATGAAGGACATATGTGTTGATTAATATACTTTTTCTCCTTCTTTTTCCTGACTTTTTCAAATGCAGCTGTAGAAAAACAACTGTCAGATGTATTGCTCTTTCTACTTCACACTGATCTGTTTTTATGTCTTTCTATAAAAGACAAAATGTTTTCATCAATATCAGCGGACAAAGAAGTGCACTGTAAGGCTGAAATTTCTTTCCGTTCTCTCCTCTGTTTCTATTTTGTTGCTATTCACATCAAAGGAAAATTATCGTCCAAATAAATAAAAATGTGTGACTATTTCAATGTATCATAAAGACTACTGAAGGCTTTTACTCAAAACTATGATAATATTATTATTACCGCTGACTATCAATCACTTTTTCCATAACAAGATTTCATAAATAATATTTGAAAAACAGTTGAGTTCAGCAAGAAAGATAAAATTTTTAATTTCCCCAGTTAATTTCAAGTCATATTTTGTCACGAATGGATTTCACGAAGAAAACCATTAAAAATGAAGGCTGTTTAGTTTTAGTTCAAGTACTTTTCAGTGGCTTTCACATACCGGAAAACTTAGGAAGGCGAAAATCAGCTAAGTTAATCAGTTTCATATTGGATGAGATTCACTAAGGAAATTTGAATTCAGATGAAACAACACTTCAGTGTTTCTTACTTTTCAATCGTCCTTCCCTTCCTGGTGAGATATTTTTCGAGCATCATGGTTGGGTAAACTGATTTTAACAACTGATTCGTTAAAGAAGAACAAGGGGTTCTTAATTTAAATGAAGTTTATAGTCAGTGTCTTAAATTCTTATGGTACAAGCATCCATATGCATGTATGTGTGCTCTTAGTTATTAAGGTTTCATCACATTACTGCTTTTTATAAATGTTTATTATTATTTATTTTAATCCTTTACGTTCCTAGTGGAACATAAGTCTTCAAGCTCCAGCTTTGAAGTTCCGGTAGCAGTGTTTTCATTTTACGGGGTTGGGTTGCGAGCCTTACGCCCAACCTTCCCTCTTGACCGGGATTACTACCGGCCTAGTGAAATTTTTGAGTGCGTCAGCTGAAGATCGAACTCCGGACCACGTGTATCAGAGTGGCGAGCGTTCTATCGCTGAACCATCGATGCATAAACGTTTACTAACAAGTTCTTATTTCAACAACTGTTTGTTTAAATTCTTTCATTTTGGTAATGAAACTTTCCACGGTCTATTAAAGCTTTTGGTCGTTGTATTTCTAGAATAAAATCTCTGTTTGATGTTTATGTTACTAGACATTAAGGGAAGGAAAGAAACATCTCACAAAAACTAGTACTGTTATTAGACAGTACTCGTTAGACATTATTTATCACAGAATAAGGTATTTTATGATGTTGCTGAGTTACTTCGATCTACAGTGGTAAAAGTAATTTGTTTTAGCAGCTTGCAGTTTCATGTATACACTATATTGTGTCTTTGCCCGTGTCGTTTCATAACAAGCTCTAAACTGTTGCCAGTATTGCAGCAGGGAGAGGGATAGAGCATATTTCAATGCAAGTAGAGTCAGTCACTCTAAACAGCGCCTCCTCCAATCTCTGTCCAGGTTTTTTTCTCTTTATTTTAATGACCAAAGCAGATCATGTCCCTTGGCATCTCCCCAAGGCTATGAAATCAGGAACATCTTATTAGGATTCCTGCGCATCGGAGACATGCTAACATGTCTCGTGGAAATGAGATCCCACCTCCAATCCACGATTCACACAACCTCGCTTCATCATGTACCTTGGCGGATAGCGTATGCCCTTACGACTATCGTATTAGGATCACCAAGGTCTTATGACCCATACTAGCCGTCATTCAGTCCACATACATACTACGGCCCCTAACCTCTGTCACTACATCTACTCTGCCTGTCTGGGACCCCACACTCTCATATAGCCAAGGGACAGACAGAATATGGACAAGAGGTCAGATCGTATGGTTCCACGAGGCGAGTAAAAGAATCTTACTCATGTTTTCAGTAGTCTAACCTCTTACAAACATATGATGTATACACATTCGTCACAGTGATGAATGCGAGATGTTTGTTAACAATAAATTGCCAAAAAATGATAGCTAACACCTAACTGGTAAAGTAATCTGACCTTTTCAATGAAAAATACCGGCTATAATTGTAAACGCGACGTGGCTTTCTTCATTGCTTTAGATAAATCTTCTAATGAGTCACAATAAGTATGATAACTAAGTTCATGACTGCGTGTAGTATAACATTTGAGGTTTATTATGACTACTTTTCAGTAAGCATACTTTTACATTTAACAAAAATTATATGTACTGAATATGACCACTCAAAGATGGTCATACTGGATAAGTAGTAAAAAAGTTAAGCGGTAAGAAAAAACACTTTCTCTTTTCTTGTGACTTACATCAGATCCTACCAGCTTAATGTAACACTCCATTGCTTTTGAACCAGTAGAATTGGCGCGAAATATCATTGATCCATTGCCTTAATTTAGAATAAACAAAATGATGAATTTCACACCAGTTAGTTAGTGTAAACTGTTTAACAAATATAAAATAATACATTTGCATTACAGACCTGCTAGTGCTTATTTGAATGACAGTTAGAGAAAAAAAAAATAAAATGAGCCACATAGTTCCATAGTATTTCGAAAATAAAGGGCGGTCTCTGATAATTTAGATTTCATGCTGTGTATGTTATGTTAAGTATATCTTCCCGTCCAATAAGACAAACCAGCCTAGTAATGCTTCTTATTATTCACCATAAAGTATTCTGTTAAGAGGATTTTTGCCCTTTTCTTAATAATACGGCACGTGATTAGTTAATGCATAATCATATTCGAGAAATATTTAGGCTTTCTTAAGTAGTACGTACAAACATGTTTATTAGCATATCGTTGCGTATTGAGAAAGCGAGTGCAAGATAAAAGGAAACATTAGAAGAGAAAATTACTACCTACTGTAATTTGATCTGTCGGCTAACTCAATGGCATTTGACAGTAATCATGCTCTCGTCATTGTAAAGACTATTATTGTCTTTGAAAAATACAAAGAAGTTGGACTTATGAATATGTTATCAGAAGGAAGGAGATGAAATTTCCCATAAATATTGAGAAAAATATATTCAGTTCATTTGTCCTTTAAGTAGACGACTGACATTAAAAATTCGCTTGATGAAATCCACAGATGGCGGGCTAGGATACCCACAACTTTGGAAGAAAGTAAATATTCACTACCATGGCGGAATAGAAGTTCATATAGATATTTATGTGATTCTTCTTAATTCCTAATGTGTATTTCAGAGGTTGTTTTACCTTATTAATCATTATTGTTATTGTAACGGGAGGGATATTGGATTTGTCGGTTCGTTCCACCGTTACTTTAGCATAACGACAATATCCTACTGACTTATGCTGAGAAGACAAGATTTATTTCTCCATGCAAAATGCAACGTCACTAGGAATTGCAGCTATTAATACAGTCATTTTATAATACCAATAAATTACTAGTTTAAGAAATTATAACTATTTTTCGACCAGTTAGCACGTACCAAGAAAAATCCACTGACCTAACCCTTACTCGACTTTAGAGTCAGATGTCTAGTTTGCAGGTCACGTAAACAATGAGTCACAATACACCTCTTCTAATTGGTGGGATACAAAGGTTAACTCAAGAGGACAAATAGCTCTAAGAAGGTAAGTTCTTTACTCAGATCGAACTGACCAAAACACCTGGAACGTATTTTATCCGAGAAATCGCATCCAGAATTACTTAATAAGTCAGTTCAGTTGTGCCTGATTATTACTGGGGATTGCAAAGAAGAAGAAGAAGGAGGAGGAGAGGAGAATACACAAACTCACCATTGTTATTGATATCTTCACGCAGCAATTCTGTTAGCAATTCAGCTACCGACAAGTCTGATGACTTTTCAAAAATATTCACAAGACAACTAGCTAATTCTTCTTTTTGTTTAGCAGATAATTTTACTTCTAAACTCTTGATTAAATCCAAATATTTTGTCTTAATGAACTGAAAAGCAAGAAAAAAAACTGTCTTTAGAATCACAGGGGTTGTTAAAATTTGTCTAGACATATTTACTAAAAAAAGCAATATAATAGGCGAAATTCAGCAAAGTTATAGCACAGAATTTATAACAGTTATACACATATTTGCTGAAAAAATGTGGCTATGAAAGAATGAAAGACTAATTTAAAGTTTGGTTGGAGGATTTCATCATTAGCCGACATCGGTTAGAGAATCAGTGGAAAACCAACAGGGAGTACTGGACAGCTGTTTCGTCCTAGTTTGGGACTCTTCAGCATTGCGCACCCACCACCTGGGTTCGAACTCAGGAACTTCTATTTACAAGGCGAGTGAGCTCATAGACCAACCATTAAACCACTGAGACCCTATCCAATGGTTCATGAATTCCAACTTCTGCCAATTCACGACATAGTGCGACCACTTGGCAATGTCTTCGATGAGCAACTGTCCTCACCTTCGACCTGCTGTAACCCTACTAGTCACGGCTTCCCACTAGAATCCTAGGTAACTACCTGAATAGGGCCAGTCACTAGTGAGCATGGGTGGGTGCGTACTGTTGGGGAGTCCCAAACTAGGATAAAACAGTTGTACTGTCAGGTTTTCCAATGGATCTCTAACCTATGTCAGTTCATGATGAAATCCTCCAATGAAATCAAAACAAAAATCTCTACAAACCAATACTTGATAATTTGAAGTTGTAATCCCCTAGCCTATGGAACAGATTTATAAATTGTGGACGTCAAAATGGAAGTTGTCAGATATTGTTTTACTGATTTACACTTGCTATGTCTTTACAGTTTACTATATATGAATATGAATAAAAATCCGTTCATTTCCATCTTTGATAAATAACTACTGAAGATTGGAGAGTGCTGAACAGCTGTTGCCTTGCACTTCGTAATCTGAACAGTAATGTTAGTTGAAGAACACAGAAAGAACTGAGTGAAGGACTGTATCCTCCAACAGAAGCACTTAACCCCTTGAATGTTATGTAACACTCTAGTTTTCTGGGTTTCGTTTCAGTTCGATATACCACATAGCCGTCATATGTATCACTGATGAGAAAACATCCTACTTCCTCTAATAAAATTAAGCTCATACAACTAAACATTTGATTAGTTTGTGGAAAGCAACCATAAACAATCATCTGGAAAAGTATTTAATGTGATGATGAATTCAGAAATAAGTAGCTCCATGTTCTGAAGTCATGAAAATGCGAAATGTCTTTGCAATCTCTGTTTCTGCATGCTATTCAATTTATGCAAAAGTATGATGTGGACAATAAATGTTAAATTTTTTAAAGTTAAAACACTCATTTAATACTGAAATAATAAAAAGCATTAGAGGCTTAAATAATGCTGTTCCTTAAAGGAAAAAAGGATGATAAGTTTACCTCTTTTAGCGCATCATAGCATACAATAGGTAGAATGTCAACGACTTCATAATGAATTTTCATTCTTATTTGAGGTAAAGAATTTTCGGGTAGAATAAAATTTGTCGTACTTGAATTGCTGTTTGGTGAATGACATGGAGTATTATTTGTAACAAATGATGACTTAGGACTACTTTTATTATTTTTATTCATATTTATATCTGTACTAATACCAGCTGTCCATGAAGTTTTCTTCTTCGACTGTTCAATAGGAGTATACTTTGCTTCATCATTACTTGGTTTGTTATTTGAGCTCTGTGAGTTATTTATTCCTGAAAATGCACTGGAATAACCAAAACATGTAGCTGGAGTAGAATGTTTCCTAAAGCGTCCAGATCGTCCGCTAACTGAATTCATTAGTGAAGATTGATTTGTGTCATTCTGTTCTTGTAGTTGGTGCTGCTGACTACCTTGTAGGCTCTCGAGATAATTTAAATTTGGACCCAGTTGTGGAGGTTGCATTGTGAACCATTGTTGTACTTCGCATTGTTTTGATTCATCATTGAGTGGAATAGTGACATAGGCTATTGTAAAAAAATAACAAATATAGTTATGTAATCATTATTTTGTTTTAAACTAGTTAACTTAAAATACTATATTTGAATTGTTTGCTTATTAAGTAAATGATAAAGAACTGGTATAGCTTAGTTAAGTCTCTGAAGATAATCAACTGCAAAAGCGTGAAGATAACTGTACTCTTCTATGCAGATATTTATACAGAACGATTCTGGGGAGAGTCAACCGCTAATTAAAAGACTTCCAATCATATTAAGTTGTAGACTGATAAGGAACATCTGCGTACTGCAGGGATTTTCTGTGTGATGAACAGTAAGAGTGTTTCCGTGAAATGTCATACTCCCTTGTTCCAGGTAATCTTTCTATATCATTCGTACTTTGACCAGTATGAAACATGTATTTGATCACAAGATATATATATATATATGCAGTGCCTTGCTATTTCTACCTACAAAGGACTTTTAAAATAATATCAAAGCTGTGAGTTTGTATTTCTTTACCTAACTTTATAAACCAAGAGTTTATCAATTGTATTGCGATTTAAATATCAAAATATTACACGATGAAGATAAAACCTTTGGTACCACCCAAAATAAGTCTCAACAAAGAAATAACAACTTAGAGACATGTACTCCATGAATACCAATGCATTTTACTTCAAGATGGGTTTGATATTTTTTATATTTAAAAAAAGTAATAATGATATTGGATGGTTGGAGGCAATCGGCCACAGGAAGCCTTTCCTGACCTAGGTTTCGTGCTAGTTGCCACAAACCAGTCAGCAAGGCGTATCTGCGACCTTGAAGGAACTCATATCCCTTCTGAGATTCGAACCCGCGTCACCCAGTGCTGCAGTCAGAGACGTTACCATTGAGCTGTTCAGGCTCGTGATTGACCTCCTGTAGGACTGTAGTGGATATTTTGATTGGACTAGAAAGGACTGGACACATCACACTAGTAACCAGTGTATCCAATACAGTCCCACAGAAGGTCAAACGCGAGCCCAAATAGCTCAGTGGTAACGTCTCTGACTGCAGCACTGGGTAACGCCGGTTCGTATCTCAGAAGGGATATGATATCCTTCAAGGTTGCAGATACGCCTTGCTGACTGGTGAGTGCCAACTAGCACGAAACCCAGGTCAAGCAAGGCTTCCTGTGGCCGATTGCCTCCAACCATTTAACATCAACTATTCAACGTGCACCGTGATGGCAAGCCACCTAGAATGGTAGCCACACTGCAAACCTGGCTGGTAGAATTCAGTCTGCATCAAAGAAAGGACTAGACACATCACACTAGTAACCAGTGTCCAATCAAAAAAGGTAATAATCCTTGATAAACACAAGAAGACAAAGACTCCTAATAGTTTGTAGCCTATGACTGTGAATGAACAAAAAAAGAGTTAAATTTATATTCTATGAACCAAGTTTTATCAATAACAGAGTTAGGAGTGAGTTACTTCAGTTCATCATTTGTCCTTAATTCTGACAACTTGCATCATGAGGCTGTAGTTTGTTAATCAGTAAAATTCACTAATGTTTATATTCAAGCGCTAAGATTCCTACAGCTTAGGCATATTTTTATAACTATAATTCTTTACTTTCTGACAATAAATAACCATCGCGTTATATTAGACATTTTTGAAAATCACCTAAAATACTTCAAAAACAATGGCGGGATCATTGTGGGATAAACTGGTGTCTAGAAATGAGGAAGATTATTAAGACGATTACTAAATGAAGTCTTCATGTCTCCTTTTTTGCCATTTTGTAGATTACAGATAACCTGCATGTTGCTAGCGTATGCAAATACATTAGAATAAGTGTGTCCAAATACTAGTTCACTCATAATCCTTTATCTTTTGCATGACTTAGCAACATATCGTTTACTGCCAGTCGAATTTTGTTTGCCTCATTGTCATCTGTGAAAAGATGACATACCTTTTCGTTACTGAATATTGTTTATTGTCAACTTATGTTTATTCGTCTTTTATTATAAATGTTTCATCAATTTGTTTATATAAATATACACTGAAAACTACAGTGACTTGTGTATTTACATCAAAAGTATTATGACTGGAAATGCAGTAGCATTCGATCAATTTCAACTAGATAAATGTAGATAAAGGTGAAGTACTGTACCGAGTAAAATCAGAGGCCTGTTTTACTGACCATGTTTTGCCATAATTCTAACTAATCGATATGATGACTTTATAAGTATGCTATATAACTGCTACGTATTTTTTGGAAAAATAACTTCACCAATAAGGCATGAACAATACTAGAAAGAGTTCCATTAAGTTCAGGTGAATTAGCACCTGAGGACAGACTAAAAATCGTAATGTCCAAGTAATGTGAGGAACAGTGTTGTCAGTTCAAAAATTAAAACAGATTATTGAAAAGAATATGTTCTTTCCAACAATTCCTCCTCAGGCTCTACAGTTAAATATGTCTACGTTCATTAGATAATAAGTTTTCAAATAACATAGATTTGTAGCTCAGGTGGATGATTTAAACGTGTTTGCGTTCTCTCAGCTGAGTGGCTTAATTGCTAAGTTCTTATTGTCCTTCTATACAACATCTTCAGCAGAAGTTTCAGTATTAAATGAACCTATTTGAAATAATGGAGATTTGTAGCTCAGTGGAATGATTTTGAATTAGTTGTGTTCTCTGAGCTGGTTGAGCTCTCGTCATCCTTCTAGACAATATCTTCAGCGCAGGTTTTAGTATGAAATGGATTTATTTGAATTCTCCATAAATGATCTAATTGTGTCTCCTGGCAACCATTGTCGTGACTGGTTGTTAATTTACATCTCTATTGTTCATTTTCATTGACTTGAATGATGAGTGTGCCTTATACGGTGTTGAAATTAATTGAAAGCAATGATTGTTAGTAGGGTTACAAGGCGTATTCTAATCATTCAGACTGTGTCATGTGAACACTATAAAGCTGAAATAGGATTAGATAACAAAAATAGGGGGCAGATTTATAGGTATGTGTTAACGACACTGCATAAACACAGATAATAAGGGAGAATGTAGTCCTAAGTTAGTCTCAATTCACGCGGGTACAAATTAAATTAAAATTGAAATGAATTAAGACACTATGGACTGTGAATCTGTGTACGTAAGCTGTTGAAGATCAAAATTAAACGGCTTCATGTTCATCAGAATTTCTCGACTTTAAGGCCGGTTTTGTTGGTGGTAGATGTTGTACATGTTTCTGGTATAAGGGTAATTCGGGCTGCTTTTTTATTTCATTCGCTATCTATTCCACTGTTTACCGAATTCGAAGTCTAACCACTTATGTTAAATTGGTAGGAAGACGGTAAATCACAGAGAATGATTAATCTATATTAGCTGTGGGTTTGTTGTGCCAGTACTCAGTACTTTGAGCCCTCAATACACTGTTAATCTCACTGGAAGATGTTCACGAGCCCGGCCAGATAAATTCCTAGAAGAGGTGCCACAGGAGCAGCTATGTTGATTAGTATAACAGCAGGAAGTGACTAGTCAGTGTAATTCAGTATCGGTTCTACCACTGAACATGTGGAAAACGTAATTTGTAGTTTTCCTACAATTAAACTTGTTTAACTAGATTCGGATGGATTGTGAATCACCATTATCTCACTCGGTATATTACTTATCAGATGCATTCGAACTGAATGTATAATGGCATTTCATAATCAGCTGGTTAATGTTACTTCATTTTTTTACTTTGATGTGTTTCCTTACAAATTCACTCGAATAACCACTTTGAAGTAGGGTATTTTGTGACTGTAAGAGTTCTTCGATTGTATCATCACAACATTAACCTTTATTCTCTGGTTGAGAGAATTTATCAGACCTCACTTTTATTTTGAGGGGAGGGAACTAAGTGAGTGTGTATACTGCTCAGTCCACATACTTTTGTTACTTAAATTTCTCTTTGTTGACCCATCTATTTTTCCTGGAAGGTCATCCAAAAAGTCTATCTCGCTTTTCGACTGTTCATCACGTGTAAACTCTATTACTGCTTGTAGTTTAAAAATCGATTAGGTGTCTGATCTACGTCTATTTTCTCACTAAGGTTGAAGGTGTCATTCAGCTGTAAACTTTATGAATGGTCGAATAGACTATCTAGTTTTGTTGAGAATGTGTCTGCTAAAATGGAACTCAAGGGAGATTCCAGCTTCACTTGTCTGCGTAATTCTCCGCTAAATTTGAAAATAACTTCATCTTATTCTTAAGCAGTAATTCGTTAGGCTTATTTAATGGAATGTCAATGTTCATAGATTATTCCTCCAACTCTTTATACATGTAGTTGAAATTCTCTATCAATAGAGAGCTCAGGAATGTAGACGTTACATCCAAGGATATCATCATTTCGTTCTTGATATTGACATTTTTGATCTTACCTCTGAATTAAAACACACCTTTTACCTTCTGTCACACTACCTGTTTGTATAAATTTATCAGAATAGTCATCAGTCATTTCACCAGATTATAGTATTGGGAATTTACTTTGTTGGGAAAGATTTTTATTAGCATGAATCAGTACCTGTCAGTTTAACTGTTTCACACAGAGTTAGTGAAATTAACTTTTCTTCTTTCAGTTTTTTCAAAGATGCAATAAGTTTATGCTCAATTTTATCATTTAAATCGTTTTGGTTTTTTCAGTTTATGAAATTTTTCGAGGTGGAAATGTGTGTGTATATATGATGTACATGGCTACGTCAATCACAGACATTTGAAGGCCTAGAGATAACACTTCAAATTGTTTTATGTCTAAATCAGTGGTAGGACATTTATGCGCTTAAATTCTAGGGTATTTTGAAGATTAGCTATTGGTTATTTGCTATTTTTAATCCTCTAATAAGCTCAACAAACATTTTCTCTGCTTGTTTCCTGGTAACTTGCAAAATATTTTTGATGAGTGGATATTTAAGATTATCTGGTACCTGGTTCACTGCATATTGTCGTCGGAACACATTCTTTTGTGTTTACTATCTACATATAGAGAATGAGTAAATTTGGTTTAATGGAGACTTTTTCAATCTGTTTGTGTTGGAATGAACTCGACAGAGAGTCAATGAATTATAATGTAGTTTGGGATAATGATTTGATTGGATACAGTTCCTTAGAAAACTCATTGTGGTCCCTGCTTTTTCCATAATAGCCTGAAAGTCGCTTGTAGGACACTCATTTACCGCGAATAAAATCTCTAAAATGATTCATTCTGATAACAGAATATCATACCAAATATGCGGTCATATACTTATTCCCGTTGAACTGAATTCAATTAACATTTGAATTTAAGCATTTCTAGTCTCTGCCTTAATGATTCGTTGCTATAACAAGGAAACCGTTTGTAGTTGACATATACAAACTTCTTATTTACTTTAAATGGATACATATATAACTGTAGGGCCTTAGAAGAAGATAGTGAAAAGAATATTCTTTGTTCAATGTCGTTTGCCTTTTTTGGTAATATTTAATCATTATAGATAAAGGATGTTATTACCTGTCAACTTTTTTAAAAGTCAGGTAATTTAAAAGAAATTTTGCTTCCATTTTATAGAATCCTATCGGTTTTTAATTACACAGTGTCTGGTAACTGGTATATTTTAGTTTTATTCAGAACAGCTGGAGGAGCTTCTTGTTCTTTTTGCTTTGTTGGTATTATCCGCATAAGTTATTCAATATTATCAGTGCAGTTGAAAAAATACTTTTGTTTTCAAACTAAATGAAAAACAATATACCTCCCTTAAAAGGTAGTAATACATTAGCAGTAGTTGAAATCTCTTTTCTTCAGGTGAATATAACCATTATGATAGAATTCCCTTCTATCATTCATCGTAAGTAGAACTGTATCACAGGATGCTTTATCATGTAGACATGTGTAATAGAGAATCATTTTCTTTAAAAAGTCTTGGTTATTCATATTAGTTTGTTTATTAGATGTATCACACAGTGAAACAGTATTATTTACTGGATGACGTTTCGAACAAAATTTATTGTTCATAATCATATCAATTGTAATCACACGACTTTGAAACTTGAGTTTTATAGTTTTCTTTGTCTTCTCCTATTTGTCGTAGGGGTAGTAGAATTTTCCAGATATCTGGGACAGGTGTTGAATCATTCCTATTACATGTGTTTGCAGTTGATTCGATAAACAAAGCTTCTGTTATCAATCTCTCCCTATACCCTGTGACATTAGATTTTAAAACTGTCATCCTATCCCATCCTATTGTATGGTTGTGTGTAACTGCATGTAGTGCTATAGCTGAACTATTCTCTAGATTTCTTATCTTATTTGGATCAACCAATCTAGATTTCGCTAGGTTTTTATGCTCGACTAGTCTGACTGCCCCTGTTCTACTAGTTTGACCTATGTATTTGACTTGACAGTCATTGCAAGCAGGGTATTAGATAAACTAAATTGTTTTGTTTTAAAGGCTCCACAGGATCCTTTAACCGACAAAGCTTGTTTCTAATTGAGTTAGTGGGTTTCAACTGTAGCACTACATGCAGTTACACACAACCATACAATAGGATGGGATAGGATGACAGTTTTAAAATCTAATGTCACAGAGTGGAGGGAGAGATTGATAACAGAAGCTTTGTTTATCGAATCAACTGCAAACACATATAATAGGAATGATTCAACACCTGTCCCAGATATCTGGAAAATTCTACTACCCGTACGACAAATAGGAGAAGACAAAGAAAACTATAAAACTCAAGTTTCAAAGTCGTGTGATTACAATTGATATGATTATGAACAATAAATTTTGTTCGAAACGTCATCCAGTAAATAATACTGTTTCACTGTGTGATACATCTAATAAACAAACTAATATGGAATTACATACTACCACAGTGCCCAAGTTTTACACATATATATTAATCTTGGTTATTCAGCCTGTTACTTAATGTTTTGAAAACTATTCTCATTACAACTCTAATGTGAGGAATAAATTCCACTCACGGGAGTGTAGTCTTTGCAATTAATGAATCCAGAATTGTAGATAGTGATTGGTATTTGATATAAATCGTCTTACAAAAACAAATATGCACCTATGGGTTTGTATACTCATAAGGCATTAATCCGAATGAATAGCTTTCGCCATACAGCAGCAGCAAAGTTGCAGATTTACCAGATAAATAAATGATTTTTTCATGTTTCATTTATGTTTCAAATGACAGTTGTTGAAAAAAAATATTTCTAACAATAAAGAGTAGGAATGTGCAGCTTAGAATAAATACTTCCATGAGTACTTCTTTCTTACTGAAGATTTTAGGAAATGACTAGTTGAGTTTAAACGTACCGATAAATTGATTTTGGCTTTTACTTCTCTGTCGTTTGTCCTTGAAAGAACTGCCTTGTCTGAATAAATTGATTGTCATAATAGATATTGGAGGTAGGTTACTGTAATTGTAAAACAAAACCATTAAATTAAAAGAAAACAGTGTGAAAGTTTCAATACCATCATGATATTTTTTTGTCTGTAACCTAAATGTTCGTTACACGTAGGCTGAGGTGGCTAGACGTTAGACTGATAAGTTTCAGGATAACATTTAATTCTTCTTGCAATCCAGCTAAGACCGGAGTACATCTGCCTATCACATGAAGAACCAATTAATAAAATTGTCATAGGACGTAGAGAGAAGAACTAAAAATAAAAACATTTATTAGCCTATCTTTCAGTTAATGTAACGCAATAAGAAAGTACAGGCTTAGCGAAATCAATACCCTATTTTGGTCTTGTGAGTTTTAGACAAAATGAAAGTTTTGCATTCGAGAAGTATTCTATCATGTGAAAAAGATTAAATCACAAAAGTGTTTTCAATTGGCGTCACCACCAAAATTACGATTAGGGTAGGAAGAGAAACTAGCGTCGGTGGCATAGCAGTTAGGACGCTCGCCGACCATGCACATGTTCCGGGTTTCGATCCCCGGCCGACGAGCTCCTTTACTTCGCTAAGCCAGAAATAATGCTGGTGAAGAGGAAGTGTTGGGCATGAGGCTAGCAACCCCATCCTGTAAAATAAACACTGCTACAGAAACTTCAAGCCACTAGCTTGAAGCCCTATGTTCCACTGGGGAACGTGAAGGAAAAAAATAAATAATAATAAAGGAAGAGAAACAGAACTTACTTCAAATCGAACTGTTCACCCCAGAATACTGTACCATCTGAGAGTTTACTGGTAGTGCGTGCATAAAGTATACGATCCAAGCATATCTCACAAAAGTATCTAGGATAATTAAAAGTAGAAAAAAGAATTATTTCTGTCTATTTATTTATATAAAAACAGGTGACAGGTGTATAGTGATAAAACTCATTTAAAGGATCCTCTACCTGAATTGAAACGCGTGACCATGTGCAACTGACTCGGTTAAAAGATAATATTCAAAAAATTTATTTACATATATCATGAGCATTACTCCATGATCACTATGGAGCTAAACAAACATTTCTTATTTCTGTTAGCTTCATTTTAGCTGAGTTAGTTAGTCAAATTACTGTAGGATAAATTCAAAATTTACAAAACAATACTTCCTGTGATAGTTATCTTAAGTGTGTGTGTATATTGGATTTTGGCGCTTTGCTCAATTCATTGTGTTACACAGTAAATGCATTTAAAATAGGCTTTTTGCTGTATAAATGCTATTACCACTTATCATTAAAAGTAATATTAATTATTTTCAATAATTATCAAACTACTTTTCATTTAAAAGTGAAATCGAATAGTTGTATGCACAGAACATAATTTTGTCCTTAAGTGTTCATACACACAGTAGTGATCTCAGTGATAGAGGATTAATAATTCTACAAGCTAAAAATAAATGCATGGGATTCAACTCACTAATCAATAAAAACATGATAAGTTCTGATTATCGTATATATATTTTTTTCTATCGCAGTGTCATTTTTTAATAGCCTGCCTTTAAGAAAACTCTGATGAAGTGGAAAAAACAGACACTCTGAATGCGAACATCTTTCAAGACTCGTTTGAGATGTGTCCTATTGCGACTATAGTAACAGTAACTCTACAACGTGGTAATCCATTTTGTCTTCAACCTGTTTATTGGTTTGCCTAGTTACTCACTTGGATCAGTATACTGGAAGTGATGAATTCACAAAAGTTTAGTGTAACTCCTCGACTGACGACTGCATACAACTAGTTGTACTATCATATGTGGTACAGTGAGTTATAAATACATTGAAAACAGAAAAAAATGAATGAACTGTGGTGAAAGATGGGTGATAAAATGACCTGTTAGGTAGAGATGCTAACAAATTGGTGGAGGGGGTGCAGAACTTACACCAGATTTCATATAAGTCGAGTCTTAGTCATGTCACTGTTAGGCTGATAAATTTATTTGGAAATAAGAGATGATGTACCTTATAAGTTATGAAAAACTGAAAAACACTAACATAAGAGGTATAAGGCAAACAACCTTTTCTTCTGTGTAATTTTGATTTTCCATATTTCTTCTTTATGAATATCAACTCCACCTGCTACTGGTTCCATTTTCCTGAAATGCGTCTTCTTACAATTTTCGTAAGTAGATAATAGGAGTTTAAGCTAATTTCAGCGCTAATATGAAGCATTTTTATCAAGTCAGACTATTAATTTTGTTTACACAAACTATTCGGAGATTACAGATACGTAATATGAATTAGACTAGTTATCGGAACAATGTCAGAGAGGTAAAAAAATGTCTTTTTCTGTTACATAAACAACTAGTCTACGTGTAACCACATTATATGATTATCCATGAAATCTATCACTTCGGACCTCGGTTTTATAAACAATGACATCGATTTTCATCCATTATGCAAGCCATTATTATTATCATTAGACATGAATATTGGATAAACATAATTTAATATCTAAGTTTTTGGTATACTTTCGTTACTCAGCAATTTTACTAGGAAAAATTGGTAGGACCCATAAAGAATTCATTCCCAAAACGATGCTGGCAAATGTTTGTTGTTTTCCACAAGATGTTGGGAAAATAACTCATGCAGACTAAAATATAATGAGGATATTATTAGAAATAAAAAAGTAACCTTGAACAAGTTTATGTCTCATAACTGGGAGTAAACAACTACTTGAAACTCAGGATATGCTGTAAATATACTCAGCGATTTTCACAAATTGATGACAAATAAACCAAGTGGAGGAATTATTTTTTACACCACGTATTAATCTGTTGAGGAAATAAATGAGCTTGTTATGCAGCTCAATGTGTTTATGTGGATCTGATTTTCCTGGAGACAGTTTTCTTTACAAGCCGAATTCAAGTATAAAATTCAAAGAAACCAGGGAGTTACCGACAATATTTCTGCCATACTGGGATACTACTTATGAATGTATGTATACTGACCGATTCTAGACACAATTTAGAAACGTTAGGCTTCTTAACTAGCAAGCTGATATTCAACTAATAAACTGGAATCCCATGGCGTATTTTGACAACTTACGTCTATCAGTGGCTCTGTGTGATCATTACTCAACACCATCGGTGAATAATTATTTTCACACCCTACTGGCTACACCTCACTTTTTATGAATATTGATAAGAACTTTAAGAAAATCCACTTCAAAGCTAGAGAATAGTGTTCGTATGGACTGTTTGCGGTATATTCGGATGAATTTAAGGAAGTTCTAGCCAAAAGTCGTTAGAGATTCCTAGGTTAGTTTAGAACATCATAGGTTTCCAGGCCGTAGGTGCTACGAACTTCCTGGAATAATTTGAGCGCCGAGTCAGATTGATTCATGATAAATTATTTAAATTAATCCCAGCATGTTAAAAACATCAAAACAAGATTTTTCTGAAGAAGCTGTGGCTTACACAGCGAAACGTTCAGAAAAATCGTGTTTTGATTTTCTTAACACGCTGGGATTAATTTAAATAATTTATAATGAATTAGTTTAGAACAGTTGTTTGTTTTCACTGTGTTCCGGGCACATGTCAGTGTACAATGAATTAGGTGTGAAGCGACTTTATCTTGGTAAACTTTAGACATTCACCATTCAAGTGATATTAAAATTCAGAATAATTAGTGTAGTATTCCTGCTTATATGACTGTGAAGTATTCTATGGTAGACCAAAACTACACAAACCAAACATTCCCTTACGACCAATCGTTTCGCTTCCAGGAACACCAACATATAATCTATCTAAAGAACTTTTCAGGAAATTAAATTACCTAACAGAATCATGCGACCATTCTATCAATTCGTCAATCCAATTTTTAGAGAAAATCAAAAGCATTCAAGTAGAAGACAATGAAATAATGGTGTCCTTTGATGTCACAGCATTATATACTTCAATTAGTCCAAAACTAGCAACAGAAACTATGCAACAATTACTCTATAGTGATGAAAACATAAAAACGCAATTATCAACTTGGATAGAACTCATAAAATTATGCTTTACAACATACTTCCAATTCAATACTCAAATATATGAACAAATAAAAGGAACACCAATGGGATCGCCCATATCAGGATTAATAGCTGAAGCCGTTATGCAAAGATTAGAATTAATAGCTCTACCTATAATTAAACCGAAAATCTGGGTACGTTACGTTGATTGATACATTTGTAATAATTGAGAGAAATGATTTAGAATATACCCATAAATTAATAAACAACATATTTGAAGACATCAAATTCACAAGAGAAGAAGAATTAGATAACAAAATCCCATTTTTAGATATCTTAATCAGGAGAACCAACACAGGAGATTTAGAAATACAAGTATATAGAAAATCAACGCACACAGATCAAATACTCAACTATACTAGCAATAATCCAATTACTCACAAACGAAACTGTGTGCAGACATTGTTTAAAAGAGTTCAAACACATTGTAGCACTCCAGAGTTGAAAAGAATGGAAGAAAAATACCTACAAACGGTCTTCAAAAAGAATGGTTATCCACAAGATTTCATCAAAAAGTGTTTAAAATCGAATAATAACACCAACAAGAAACCACCATCAAAGACCACAAGAAAATTCATCCTACCATAAATGAAAAATATCTCTGAAATAACAGCCAGAATACTGAAACCGTTTGAAATAAATATAGCACAGAAACCAGTCAAGTCGCTTAATTCGATATTATGCAAACCGAAAGATCCAACAGAAAAAGGGGATAAAATTAATACCATTTACAAAATAAATTGTATGAACTGCAACAAGCATTACATCGGCCAAAGTGGGCGTCCCCTTCGAATCAGAATCCAAGATCACAAATCAGCCGTGAAAAGACATGATATGTATTCTTTAGTATCAATGCATATAGACAATTATGGTCATCAATTTGATTGGGATAATGTCAAAATCTTAGACAGAGGAAACACCAAAAGTGCCAGGGAATTCCTAGAAGCCTGGTACTCAAACGAAAATGCAATTAACAAGCACGTTAATATAGACGAAATATACCAACTAATAAAAAGTAAATCAGGTGACCAGAAAGTTTAAAATCCAAGTCAATAGAAAATGGTCAATACATATGTAAAGATGGTTACCAGGAGACGCAATTATATCACTCATGAAGAAATTTAAATAATTTCACTTTATGCTAAATATTGCGCTGAAGATGTTGTCCAGAAGGACGACGAAAGCTCCGCAACTAAACCAAACAGCTCAGAGAACACTATTAATTGCAAATCATCCACCTGAGCTACAAATCTTCTCTATTATTTCAGAAACCTATCATAACAGTGTACACTAGTATTAAATGTTGTTCAAACAGGTGATTACATTGGCATTTACAAATGTATTGCTTGCACAATGAGCATATTTTCATTAATACTTCACTATGACCACTACTTCAAGTACTGCAACTACTTTCTTTTTAAAATTACAGCTGTTAAGTTTTGCATTACTATATTCTCAGTAAAACAGCCAGCGATTTCTGTGTCTTTATCTTGACTGTAACTTCGTTAACCTCCAAAGATTTTCTAGTCGGTAGGTTGTTATTCATATCCATTTTTTGTGTATAACTAACCTCGTTAGACAATGATATTTCCAAAGCAAAGTGTCATACACTGTCTAGTCAGGTTTAGGCAGGACAAAAACATTTGCAATTACAATTACCATCATCAGGATCCATTACTAGACATAAACTCTTTATTTTGCGACACTTCAGTATTCTGTATTTGTCTAGTATTTATGCACTTATCTATTATTCTAAAATGTCATATTTTTTTACTTTTGTAACAAAATTTTTCAAA